CCCTCTCAACACCTCATCGTCGACGCGCATTCTCTTCGAGTCCTCCTTACCTCCTCATCATCATCGCCCTTCATCACCCTCCCGCTCCCTGCCTCTTCCTTTACATAGCTAGCAAGAATCGTAATATTCTTATCTTTTAGATATCCAAATTCAAAAACCGGTGAAAGAAATCACGCCACTCACGCACTTGAAAAAAAAAGAAAACATGATTAAAACACAAAAGCCAAAGCCCTTTCAAAGAAAATCACGCGAATGGTATATCTGTAACGAGATCCCTTAGGTACCGCAAAAACTTACTAAGAAGAGGTCAGAACTTAACCGAAAAGTCAAAAAAGTCAAGACACCTCTGCATTTTCTGTCTATAGCCAAAAAACAACACAACTAAAATTGCTGAATTCATTTGTTTTTGAGCGGTGAAATGCATTCAAAAATGCTAAATTTTGCTCCAAAATGTAAAAATACATGGCAAAAATAGAAAATTGCCATTTTGATCGTACAGGATTAAATTTATAGTTTGTTTCCGAGGTCTGGTAGCGTAGCACGCAAAAGAAGACCCATTCTATCAATCTTCTCTCCAAATCGTCCGAAGAATGTTGGGATGCCAGGAGCAAGTAAAAAGCTGACTCGAAATTCTCGGAGAATTAGCGGTAAAAAAAACTGACAACATCTAAGAGCAACTGCAAAATATCAGAATCTCTAAAAAAGCGAACTTGATATTTAGCAAAGGGCAAAGATTGCGGTGATTCTTCGAGAACAGTAATAGTTCAGAAGATTCTGGAAAACGTACGTAAACATATTCAAACATATGCTCTAATCGACACACATGCAGCTTGGGATATTAGCACCTCAGGCTTTTCAAATGTGCTAATTTTGACGAACTTTTTTTCTCACTCATGTCATCTATCCATTCTATTCCGAAGCTAATAACTAAATTGCATTCATGCGTAAACAGTGAATTAAGCAAAAAATATTAACAGTGTATTAGGCAGACAGAAAGAAACGAACCATGGAACAAGGCGTGGCAGATGGCAGCAAATTGCAACATACTTCCAATGAAGCACTGTGCTTTCGGTCTGGTGTGAGCGATATTATCAAAGCAGTGTACATCAGCAAGAGCTGGGTCGATCACATGAAGGCAAGAAAGAGAAACAGCAAATCGACAAGCATTACCAAGGCAATGTTAAAAAGACACAGGGTAGGCCAATCAGTGAACAGTTATGTGGAATTATGTGTATGAAAGAAGCACGAAATGGAGCAGAATGGAGAAGCTGCCAGCTGCGTCAGTGGTGAGAAGAAACGCAACGATGAAACAACAACTGATCAAAGCACCAAAGGACACCATAAAGAAGTGCCAGTTTTAAAATTTCATCAGATAGCGTTTCTCAAGTGGAGTTCCCAAGTAAAAAGAAAACCGTGCCTCCAAAAAAGTAACAGTAGAACTGCCGAAACAATAAGAACAGAAGATTTATTATAAACAAATCCAACAAACGAGAAATTCATCCAGATTTTGCGTCCTCACATTATCCTCTACTATTTCTGCCAGAGCAGACATCTCGTTCTCTGCATCTCACTTAAATTTGCTATTTCTCGTTCTTCAAGCTTCAAATTTAACCTTTTCCTGACTTATTCATATACTTGTGGGCTGACTTTACAGTTCTACAGATAAATCAAAATCTTTTTTCTCGATATCGTGTTTAGTTTTGGACAAATTTTTCAGTTCTGTTAAGGAATTTATACCTTTTAATCTAATTTTCACACGTTTCCTACCATGTTGACAGTTCCACTGCATCTAGCAGGAAAAAAGAAAGTGGTCGCCAGCTCCTTACTGAAACAAGTCGCTGATTTAAAATCACCGCTTCTGGCTCCTCATGTGGATCTCTCGATATCGCTGAGAATAAAACCACGATAACAAGATAATACAATTGCAGTTCTATCCCTCTGATGATGGTACTGCAGTTGCACTAGTGCTATCGCCGCGTGGTATCACTTTTACTGGAGTTCTCGGAAGTTTTGGCTTCCTTTCAAACACTGCACCGCAACTACGCATGCTGCAAATACATATCTCAGATTCTTATAAAACGCTAATAATAAAAAACGCATTTTTTGCTGTGCATTAAAAATGAATGGGCTTGCCAGAGCGCCACAAATTACCGCATTCTAAAAGGATACTCAAAATTGTATCATAGGACAAAAAGATATTAAAATTTTGCATTCGCCTGGAAATTTTCTGAAAGAACTGTAAACATACTTAACATCACTTGCAACTGGTGCATCAGGCAAAAAATCCGTCACTGCATTACCACTCTCCGGCGATA